TTATACAAGGAAAAATTATATAAAATTTACACCTGAATGAATTGACATTAAAATAGAATAATTCACAACAAATGTTATATTTAAAACATATTTCTAAAATTTTAGGTTCGAAGAAAAATCTAACAGTCGATGATACATTGTTGGAAAATGAAAGAAGGAGTTCGAGTTTATTTTCACAGGTTTAGACTTGACATTTGTTTCATTATATATCGACCATTAATATTTGTCGAATTCTAATTTAGCTCATATTTTTCTGCTATTTCATTTTTATGACTTACATACGACATTCAACTTGAAATGAACTTACGGACTCGAAGATGAATGAATTTGCATAGGTCAGGTGAAATGAACAAATGAGTAAGAAATTAACAGAGAAATGATCGACGGGATTGAATATATTTAGAAAAAATTAAATGCTCATTAAAAATTACATAGGTTTCGACGAATATCAGTGCATGGAACATATTGGCGCAATTTATTTCTAATCAGATCCGATTTGGCTATGAAATGGAACTAATGCTGAGAGTGGAATTGAGGAAACTCAATGTTGACGGACAAATGAAACCGACCTAACTAATAAAGAAGTGATGAGCCTGAGCTAATGTTTACTACGCTTTGAGATGACAAAATAATACAAGCATTGGAATCTTAAAGAACAGGAATTGTTTTGGAACATTTTAGCAACAACGTTCACGTAATTAACTAACTGTTAGAGCTTTTTTTAATATTTTCATTCTCTTGAGTCATTTATTTGCATATTTTGCTATTTGGTGCTGTAGACGACTTCTCGCATGATTTTTTTGAAATAATTATTTAATATGCATTACAACTATTTACGTTTTGACGAATATGAGTATCTCATATATTTTTATTTTCATATTTGGTATATTTTAATTGGATTTTTTAGATTACCCTTCCAAGAAATATTTCAAATCATTTTTTGTTGGCCATATTGTAGTTGAATTATATATAAATGCGTCTAGTACTTTGAACTTTCAAAATTTCTTTTCGAATATTCGGAAGTTATAAAATTTTTAATGAATTCATTTATTACTTAATATTGGCTAAATGAATAAAAATTTATGCTTTGACCAATGATGGAATAGCCTTGTTTGCTGAATTAAATGTCACCAAAAAAACTTATATATCTTTAGTTGTTTCTTAAAAACTCAAACTAATCTTTGTCTGAGTCTCCATGATATTCAAACTCACACAAAAAGTAGCTTAAGTTTTTTTTCGATATATTTCAATTTCATAGTTGGAAACGGCAAAATATCATTTCAAATTGAATAGAAAATATGACAGCATAAAATGAAAGAAATTAATTGGAAAACTTTTGAGAGAATTATATTAAAACAAAAGAGTCCCTCAATTGAGGAGATATACCAGTTCGGATATCGGATAATAGCAATATTAGAATTGAAAAGGGTTCTAGTTCCGTGATTATCAATTATTCGTTTTATTCTCATCGACATATCGTTGTGTGGCTTTTTTTGAAAACAGAGGCCTACCGCTAATGAGAGTGAGATTCGAACCCACGCCTCCGAAGAGACTGATGCCTCAAGCAAGCGCCTTAAATCGCTCGACCATCTCGCCACAAAAGGACGTCCGACTACGTGACCCAAAAGTAAATTTTATTAAAATATGGTTTAACGATTATTGCTATGGTAATTTAGGAGTGAAAGGAATTTCAGGCAGATTTCTGTTGAAAACGTAGCAGCAGAAATATCAAATACTTCAATTAATCAATTTAACTTCGATTTTAAATTTACGCATCAATGTCTCGGTTTACATTTAATCACTGAATTTGAATACAGTACAAATTCCAAAATCAGAAAAAAATGGAAGTAGGTGATGTTAATGGTGACCAATGAATGTGCTCGACTGATTTATGCCCTCCATTATCTTAGAATATAAAATTAGATAAAGTTACAATAAATACTGGCCATTAGAAGATTAGTTGTACTGATAAAGCATCGAACCGATTTGCTGCTGAATATAGATAGAATAAAGTGGAGAAAGATTTGGGTTACACTTAAATGCTTCCATGCTAGCAAAACGAACTAGAAATCCTCAAACGTTAAGTGATTCCGTTAATGACGGCATATCTGGCCGCGTATTAACCTATAAACCATCTCTTCCATACTTATTCATCATTGCTTATCATAATGACATATTATTGTAATGCATAAAAATATAAAACAATAATTAAATAATTAAACAGCGGTTGAAATTCAAATCAAGTAAATTGCTTCCACATAGTTTACCTATTTACTGAATTATTCAGAAGCGAACAACAAAAAATGATAACTCACTTTCTTGATTCTTTTAAATTTAATCTTGGAATTTTTTTGAAAAATGTGTTTCATGCCATTTGCTAGTTTTATGCAGCAAGCGGTAGGACCATTCGGCAGCAAAAAATATGGACGCATTTGCTGGGATTGCACTAAAAATGATAATGAATAGAGAAGTTTAGAATAAAATTCTTCGATTAACTCGATTAAATTTCTTCAACAATTTTTATAATTGACCATTTCTTTATCATTCATTTCAACGCTGATTTAACTTGTGTTTTGCTAAATGCTGTCAATTTATAATCATTCCAACAGTAATTCAATTACAAAAATATTTTATAAAAATGCCGGATATATTATAAATATAAACAAACACAGTCATCCTATTTTCCAAAAATTTTTATTTCAAAAGGCTAAATCGATTGATATTATAGATGAATAATAAAATTGCGTACAGCAAATGATATGCTAATCCACCAATAACTACTCTATTTTGATCCCATAACTAAGATTTTTGTACCACTTTTAAATTTTTAAAAACTCTTCGAAATTTAACTCATTCTTTCATCTCTAAATGTGTATTATGCTATTAGCTAAAAAGTTCAATATCAGATATACCGCAAAATAGTGGCCGAAATACCGGCGAAAAAACCTTTGATGCCATAAATTCTCATAATATTTTGACAAACTTTTCTATATGAATGCATGCTATCGTCAGCTTGGAATTGCGTTTTGATCACATCCGAAGGATAATTACATATCCAAGACATAATACCCGCAATGCCTGAAATATTCAGCAGAAAAAAAAAATTAATCTATATTTTTAAAGGTAAGACAAGAAAAATAGTATTAGTGTCAGGAATGATCAAAAATTATCTTATGATATGACTTAATTGCAGATATGATTATAAGATGAAACATAATAATGACCTTGTGTGAACTTGATGTTTGTGTTTTGGTATCAGTAAGAATTAACTTTTATCTTTCTTTTGCTCAACAAATTAATTAAGCTAAAATATTAATAAGTAGTGCAACCTCCAGCTAGAAGCAACTGGGACGATGTAAGCGAGGAAGCTGTGCCATCCCTACTTAATTTTTGTGCACAAAATTCATAAGTGACAAACCACACTCCATATCCGGGACCATCTCGAGCAACTGTAATCCATGTACCTCTTAAATAGAATGTTTTTCAGGCAAAAAAGAGAAAGTGTTTAATAAGTTTGGAATGAATTTTAATATTACCGGTAAAAATGAATGAAGAATTTGTATTTATCATTATATCCAAATCTGTAACTTACTTATACATCGATAAAAATCCGTGTTGCTTTATCATTTTTTGAGCACAATCATATGATGACATATATAATTTTTGCTTGTTATTCATCTAAATAAGCGCAACTGAATTTTCGTAATACATTTCGAACATAAGTAACAGTAATAAAATTTTTTCATATAATTTAATTTGAGAATTCTGTAATTAAAGCATTAACAAACACTAAAATAAAAAATTTTGAACAAAAATGTCCGTGATAATTTTGAAGACAAAAATTTGCGAAAGAAAATGTTAACAATTTGAGAAATTTATTCATGTGCACACTAGTAGTGAAAGGATTTTTTCTAATTACAAAATTTGCATTTACCAATTAGCAGCAGTGCATTTGCTTATCTCATAATCAATAACATACTTGTAACTGTAATTTAATCTTAAGCAATTCTGACGGGATGCATATGCAGCACTGTGCGATACCAGCCAGATTGCCAGCAATAAACGATCCAATTAAATTGTGATAATTATCGAAAAGTTTGATTGTATTGCCGTAGACGCCAAATGCTATGGAATGAATTGCTGTAAAACTTACCAATGGACTTGACATTCCTGAAAATACCTGACGTTCTCAACATTTATGAATGTATTCAAAAATTTTCTTAAATATCTTGTAAAAATAATAATGATTTCTATTAGGTTGCATCAAATATTTAACATATTCTAAAATTTCATATGATTATAAGCCGTTTTTTAGACATGACGACATCAGATGATAAGAATGGATTCTTTTTTATCATCCTGCTATACATATATGGTCTATTTACCACAATTATTCAGCCTTCTCTGCTCATTTTATTTATTTATTCCAATTGTAAAATGTTAATTTCAATGAAGAACACGCATAAATAGCGAAAAAATTTTGACCCAATACTCTCAAATGATGGATATAAAATAAGAAAATAGCAAAAGTATTGAAAGTGTTACCACAAAAACAGAATTTCTGACCTTTAAAAAATCCTAACATGCCTTCATTTCGAATGATCGATGAGCAGCATCGATAAAAATTTTGAGCTTCGGTTTGTTGACGTATTCTAACTGTATCCAACGGATAACCTGTTAGCACTCCTGTTATACCTATGAAAAATCTCGAATAGCATTTAAAATGAAGAGATCTTAGCTGAAAGATAGTATACTTCTGGCTAATCTTTAGTTAACATCATGACTGATTCAAATTGATCTAAGAGAAATATAAAAGATTAACAAAATTAATGAAAAATGGTGGAACATAAATAAAAATTCGTCATTCATACAAATTAAATTTTTATGCTGCCCTTAAATCAAGAAAGGGACAGAGGTGGGACGGTAAAACAGCAATCTATCAATACTGCAGTCATTTTGGTGAAGTTAGTTATGTCATCTACCTACCTAAGTAATATAAATGCAAAGTAAATTGTAACGATAGTTCATACCTGCTATGACTCCAATTAGATAATGTACGACGGGTTCAAAATAGCCAAATTGTTCAAGCTTTCGATTAGAATGGTCACTACAGTAACCTACAGTAAGCATCGTATGATGCGATCGAGACATAGGTAGAGTTGATAAACTTTCACAACAGCATTTGATGATTGGAGTACAGGTTTTGTTGCAGCTTTAGCTACCCTGAAATAAAACCAAACAATGAAATTAAATGTGAATCTGACTAAGTTGATCATAAACATATCGTCATCATCCAATTTGCATATTTTAATAGCAATAGAAGATTGCTTATCTTTCGAAGACGGGCACAGATTATGTAAGTTGGGATTGAATTGGAGAAATTCTCAATATATATGCAATGAAACTTTCGTTTGGCTATCTGAGGATATAAATGAAACAATGCAACTAAACTTAATTCTCAGAACAGTCATAAGTTTTGCTGCCTATAATTTAACTTTTTTATTTCGTTTTAGAATTGCGTTCTGTGGACAAACTCAGAGGTTAAAAGGTAGTGGTAACTAAGAAAGAAAGCAAAGCTAATGATGTGGTTTTCTTTCCTTAAAGCAATTTGAGTTGGTTATTGACTCATATACTTTAGTACTAGTCTTAATTTTGTTCCTTATCATCTCTCTTACAAGTCTTAATCAATAAACAATGATTAAATAACATTGCTGGCAACAATTTCTTACCTAAATCCAAGTTCGTTTCAGCGTAAATATGAAGTGAATATTGAACAGTGGTATTTCTTGAATTTAAGGAACTTCAGCACGACCCTCCTCAACGAGTATATTCTTTCTTCTTTACTTTTACTAATTTCAATTTAAGAAACTTTACACTCTACTACACTTTTCCTCTACGATCTACGCTCAGTTAATCTATGCTCATCAGAGATCAAGGATGTTTTGAAGCCAACCAAGTCTCCAAACAATGTAGGAGCGCATACACTTTTCACTCATTTGTCTGAAGTGCAGATGTCCACGTACTTGAATTTTTTAATAAGGCATTTGAAAAATCTTGCAGTGGCACAATATGAATAAACATGGATAAGGTATATGATTTAAAAAGCAACTGAATTAATTTCATAGAAAATTCTTCTTAAAGATAAGTTCATCGAAGCCGGTGATGATAATGCATATAATGATGAGCCTTACATATCATTAAGTTCATGTGTTCTCAAAAAAATTTCACGCTCTCAATTATCCATCTTATTAAATTTGCTTTCTTCTGCATATATAAAAAGAAAATAAAAATGAATCATCCAGAACTTATTAACATCAATTTGAATAAGAAACTGAACAAAATCTAACTGGCGTATCTTTGCTACAAAAAAACACTGCTCCTCCTATAATTCCAATAATTTGCACATTACCAATTATCGCAAAACCTCTTCCTCTCATTTAGTTCTGCGGTCCTCAGAACCTTTGAATATCGTATTATACAACTTCTACCCCTCCTTTGCCAAATTCTACCTTCTTAAACTAGATTATAATTGCTGCTCAAAGTAAATTCGAAATACTACCTTGAAATTTTTACACACATACTCAAAAATTTTCTTCAGTGTAATAACCAGTAATCTATAAGATTAGAATTTTTTTGCAACGATAAACTAAACAAAATATGTAGACAAAAGGCAATAATCAAAAGTAATTACACCTAGTAAATCAAAATATGCGATTCAAAACAGAAGGAAGAACTATAGTCAAATCAGAAGGTACAAAAAAGCAGGTAACGAAGAGTGGAATTGAAAGCACATTGAACAGAAGACCTCATACTATCGGTATAATAATCACAGTAAAAGAGACATTAATGAAACAATAATTCCAATCAGAATCCGGAAAAAATCAGGTATCTATATTCCTTAATTAGTAACCTTTCAAAATCCTATATTTTATGTGAATGACACAAATGGATTTAATAATTATAGTTGGAAGATTTACCATCTGTCACTTTACCATTGAAGTTAGCCAAATATTATACCAATCAAGCTATTCTGAAAATCAGGATAGCTTAATTGTGAGTCAAATAAGGCAATAAAATGAATTAAGCGATAACAAAGGATTTTCAACAATTATTGCACCCATGATTTCTCAGGGAAAATATTTGTGCCCACAATTTGTGTCTCACAAAAAAGCACAAATAATTTACTAGAAAGCCATAGTAGTTTATTCCCAGAATAAAATAACTAAAAGCAGAAAAATTATAAAAAAACAAATTGTTTGAGGCATAAAGCTGAGAGGCACTTCACGACAATGTCCAAAAAACTGAACTAGTGTGCTAATCTGATTTTAACTATATGAAAAACAAGTGACATTAACAGTTGGCTATAAATGAACTATGATATATCATATAAGCACGAGCGGGATTTTTATTTTCGAAGATGGCAAAACTCTTATCTGAAATATTTCATTTCAAACCTTCGCGATAAAATTAAAGAAATTAGTACAACAAATAAATTTTCACAGTGGAAATCAGATTGTAAGAAAAAATTCCCCTATCGAAAATGATAATAGTATGTGCAATATAAACTGGATGCAAATAACAATTACTTTCCCTCTTCCTCATGAATGGACTGAGAACTGGATGATGAAGAAACAGCTGTTGTTGACTGAGTGCCATCAGTAGTAAAATTCTTGATTGAATTCCAGATTTTTGATAAATGTGGCACTGGACTATAGGAACGTACCGCTTCTGTAGTATTTAGAAGATTTGTTGATGCTGAACAATTCGCCGTTAAACCACTAGCCGACAATTTTGTCCCTGCAATGTCTAATTTAAATTTGTAGTGTATAAATTTAAAATTGCAAAAATTTGCATGCACAACACTGAAAATGCAAATCTTGCAATTTCAAATGCAAATCTTTGCAATTTTTTTAGATTTGCATGCACAACACTGCAGCAAATATGATTTTCAATAAAATTGACATCACATGTTTGCGCAATTGCACGGTACAGGCCACAATCACAAAAACAATTCAGCTTTCAAAGTACAAATTTCACATGGAAACAATCAAAGTCACAAATCTAACCGACAAAGTAGTTATACAAAATAAAATTTCTAAGATATATCAAGAAAAAAAAAACTTATAATAATTTGACAAGGTGAAGATGAAAACAAACCTCAATTTTTGATTAAAGGTAAAGAGAAAAACGAAATAAACGGACACAGCAAACTGTGAAATTAAAATCAGAGACTTAACATAATGTTATTAAAAAAAATAACGTAAGAAGAAAAAGAATAAAAATAAAGCGATAAAGAATCCCGCCAATTGCATGTTACAAAAGGTATCGATAACAAATGTTGAGAAGTTGGTGCAATTTGTACAACATTCTTTAACAACTTAAAGTTTGAAAGATTATTTTCTGAAGAAAAAAAGCACAGTCTTTTTCTCAGTACTTTTCTGAGTTTCTTAGTAAAAGGAAAGAGAAACACATACAGAACAAAATTAGATCATATAAGAAACTGACTAACCGATGCTGCCACTAAGCGGCAGGCTGGCACGTCTTCCGCCGTTTTTCGATTGTTCAGTAGTTTCCTGATCACGCTCAATACATGCTGAAGTATAATCCCCACTTCTTCGTCTTTCTTCTAGACTTTGCTGTAACGCCACCGGCGTCAACCATTCTCGCGGCAAACAACGCTCCAAGAACGGTATTGAACTTGATACAGTAGCAAGTCGATTTACCCATGATGGTATCTCTTTACCAGTCAGTGTCTAAAAGTAAATTAAGCACAACTGTAACTGTAAAATCATAAATTTACAGATAAAACTGGATAAAAAAGTTATGGAAATTAAATTAAACTGAGATGAAATTCTGCATTTCTGAATTTTAGAAAACACATTTCCAATCCAACAAACATAATAATTTAATAATTTTTATTCACTTACAGTCGTCCTTCAACAACAGCTCGTTCGTTACGCAGATCGTATGCTACATTAAAATATGAAATCAAATTTGATAACAGTGTAAATATTTCATTTCTCACTAGACAGTCGAAATACGACTGATGATATGTTTCCGTTGTCGTTATTTTTTACTTTTTCCAAATCATGTATTTCACCACAAAATTTTATATCGTCCTTTGGTGATTTAAGGCCATTCAACAAAAAGCAAAAATACTTATCATATACCTTAGCTAAAGCAGCTGTGAAATGATTGCAATTTTTTGAAATTAAGTGATATCTGTCGCCTCTATATTCACTTCCCAACATCTGGATAAGATGTTTTATGTCAGTGGCACTGAAGTCAGTCTCGCCGATGAGGATACTTTCTCTAAAGATATCTATTTTTTTTTAAAGAATAATTCTGTCGGCAATTTTAAAAGTGCAATATGCAGTTAATATGGTTTGGAAAAAAGTAATTTGAACTAATCAAAAAGAGCAAACATCAGACAAAATTTAAATAAAAATACTTACTTGAACTTAAAATTCTCACCCAACTCTTCTGCATCTTTTGGTGAGTTTTCAAAAATTCCAGAAAATGAGAAAGGATGTCCACCGTATGTATATTCTGAAAGTAAAATAATAAAAACAGAGAAAACTTTTAACAAATTAATTTGGAATTTTTTGTTGAAGTGATGGATGAAATAGATGCGTTAAGCCTTAGTGTATTAAAAGAAATCAGACTCACCAACACCATATACTTCGATGCCTGTATGGTACACTCCAAATCCAAGGGTTGAGGCGTAGTCGTTCAACCAATACTAAAATTTAATAAAGCATTTTAAAGTAAAGAGGAAGATTCAAATAAATCAACCCTAAATACCAAACAATTAAATTTGTAACAAAAATGAAAAGACTACAGCAAATATATTGCAACTTAATTGAAATACCAATTATTCTAACTTTTCCAGTTTCAGTTTTCTCATAGATCTTTTGGTAAATGGTCATGTTTATAAATTTTGAAACAGAAGAAATGTTTTAATATCATTTGAGTTTATATTTGTACATGTCGAAATATAAAATGCACAAAAGCCAAACGAGTGTATACTAACTATAAGTCATTTTTCAACAAGTTTCTCAGACAGACGTGTATGTCATATTATTAGGCAGTAAAAAAATGATACTCGATGACAGCAATAGAAGCTTACCATATCGTATACATTCAACCTTACTGGAGTACGTGCCATATTAGATAATCGATATCCTTTATTTCAAAATAAAAAGACAAGAATTGATTAAGCAATAATTAAGCTGTGTATGACAAGAACCATATTTCATTGACAGTCGTCAGAGAATTGTCGATTATAAATGAATATTGATAAGTGAAAAAGGATAAAATGTATTGACCAGAACTGTTGCTGCTGCTTTCTCTAATGAAATTGATCGATTGTTATTAGTATATAACCTTCAAAAAAGTAATGTAATCCTAAAACATTTAATTTGTAAACATTATTACTGATAAGAAGCAAAAATGAGCCATCCATCATTCAGTTGCGCAATATTTTCTGACGAAATTAAATTTATCAAAAAAAAAAGTTGAAATCAAATAATAGATCAGCTGAAAGAAATATTTTCATGAAATATTGCTGTGGATGCATTTATCTTCACTCATTCTATCTTCTTTCTTGACTCTTATCAATACACAATGCATTACTCACTAT